TACCATCATCATCATCATCATAATCAGCATCATCAGCCTCAGCATCATCAGCATCATCATCATCATCCTCTTCCTCCTGCGCCGCATCCTCCTCCTCCTCCTTCCCCTCTTCCTCCTGTTCATCCTCCTGATCATCCTCTTCCTCCTGCTCATCGTTCTCGTTCTCATGATCCTCTTCCTCCTCCTCCTCCTCCGCCTCCTCCCCCTCTTCCTCTTCCTCTTCCTCCTCCTCATCCTCCTCCTCCGCCTCCTCCTCCTCCTCCTCCTCCCCCGCATCCTCGACATCTTCCTCCTCTCCCTCCTCCTGCTCCTCCTGCTCCTCCTCCTCCTCCTCCTCATGCTGTAAATCATCCTCGTCTTCTTCTTCTTCTTCTTCCTCCTCCTCCTCCTCCTCGTGTTCCTCCTCCTCCTCATCATTCTCATCCCCATCCTCATCCTAATCCTCCTCCTCATCATCATCAACATCATCATCAGCATCAGCATCATCATCATCACCAGCACCAGCATCATCAGCATCATCATCATCAGCATCATCATCATCATCATCATCAGCATAATCATAATCATCATCATCATCATCATCATCATCATCATCATCATCAATATCAACATCATCATCAGCATCATCATCATCACCATCATCAGCATGATCAGCATCATCATCATCATCATCAGCAGCATCAGCAGCATCAGCATCATAATCAGCATCATCAGCAGCATCGTCATCAGCATCATCATCAGCATCATCATTAACAGCATCAGCATCATCATCAGCATCATCAGCATGATCATCATCATCAGCATCATCATCATCGTCATCAACATCGTCAACCTCATCATCATCAGCAGCACCAGCATCATCATCATCATCATCATCATCATCATCATCATCATCAGCCTTATCATCATCAGCAGCATCAGCATCAGCATCATCATCAGTAGCATCATCAGCAGCATCAGCAGAAGCTGCATCAGCATGAGCATCAGCATCATCATCATCAGCACTCAGCATCATCACCACCAACACCATCATCATCATCAGCGTCAGCATCATCATCATCGTCATCATCAGCCTCATCGTCATCGTCATCACCATCAGCACTGATACCATCACTAGCATCATCATCAGCATCAGCATCAGCATCATCATCAGAATCATCAGCATCATTATAAGCATCAGCAGCATCATCCTAATCGTCAACAACATCGTCAACAACAGCATCATCATCAGCATCATCACAATCATCAGCATCATCATCATCAGCAACAGCATCAACAGCATCAGCAGCATCAGTATCACCCGTGTCGTCATCAGTGTCATCATCAGCAGCCTCAACATCATCAGCACCGTCATCATCATCATCATCATCATCATCCGCATGCTCATCATCATCATCACCAGCAGCAGCATCATCAGCATCAGCGTCAGAATTATCATTATCAGCATCAGCATCCTCACAAGCATCAGCATCAGCATCAGCATCATCACCATCATCATCAGCATGGTCAGTATCCGTATCATCAGCATCTGCATGTTCATCATCATCAGCATCATCATCCTAGTCGTATTAATCATCCTCCTCCTCCCCTTCCTCCTCCTGCCCCTCCTTCTCATCATCACCATCAGCATCCGCCTTCGAATCCGTCTTATCCTCCTTCTCCTCTTCCTCATCATCCGATTCCTCATCCTCCCTCCTCCTCCTCCTCCTCCTCCTCATCCTCCTCCTCATCCTCCTCGTCCCCCTCATCTTCCTCCTCCGCCTCCCCCTCCTCCTCCTCCGCCTCCTCCTCATCCTCCTCATCCGTTTCCTCCCCCTCCTCCTCCTCCTTCTCATCCGCGTCCTCATCCTCTTCATCCTCATCCTCCTCCTCCTCCTCCTCCTCCTCATCATCATCGTATTCCTCCTCCTCCACCTGATCCTCCTCCTCCTCTTCCTCCTCATCATCTTGCTCATCCTCATCCTCCTCCAGCTCCTCCTCATCCGTCTCCTCCTCCTCAGCCTTCTCCTCGTCCTCGTCCTCATTCTCCTCATCCTGCTCACCGTCCTCGTCATCGGGATCCCCATCCTCCTCCTCCCCCTCCTCCTCTCCCCCCCTCCCCTCCTCATCCTCATCTCCTTCATCCTTCCCTGTTTCCTCCTCCTCTGCCCTGCTGCTCATCACCTCCTCCTCCTCCTCCTCCTCCTCCTCCTCATCCGTTCCTCTCCTCCTCCTCATCTCTTCATCCTCCTCCTCCTCCTCCTCATCCTCGCATCCTCCACCTCCTCCTCCCCCTCCCCCCCCTACACCCACCCCATTTCCTCCTCCTCCTCTTCCTTCTCCTCCTCCTCCTCCGCCTCAATCCTCCTCCTCCTCCGTCCTCCTCCCGCCTCCTCCTCCTCATACCTAAACCTCCTCGAATCCTCACCCTCGCTCATCCTCCTCCTCCTCCTACTCCTCCTCCACCTCGTCCTCCTCCTCCTCCTCCTCCTCCTCCTCCCTCCCCCTCCATCCCTCCCTCCCCCCTTCCTCCTCCTGCCTCCTCACTCCTCCTCCTCCTCCTCCCGCTGCATCCTCCTCCTCCTCCTCCTCCTCCTAACCCCCTAATCCTCCTCCTGACCACGTCCTCCCCTCCTCCTTCCTCCTCCTCCTCCTCCTCCTCCTCCTCTCTTCCTCCTCCTCCTCCTCCTCCTCCTCCTCCCTCCGCCTCCTCCTCCTCCTCCTCCTCCGCATCCTCCTCCGCCTCCTTCCTCATCCTCCTCCTCCGCATCCTCCGCCTCCTCCTCCTCCTCCTCCTCCTCCTCCTCCTCCTCCTCCTTCCGTAGCCATTTTGGCTCAAGTCCGTAGCGTGAGGCTCAGGGCTTGACGTGTGGCGGGGGGGATCTCACGGCCCCCAACTGCTTTCGCCTGTCGCCAGGCACACATCCTCGACACATCCTCGAGAAAGTACCGCTGTTTTGCTCACACTGTACCCCGCGTTCCATGGCTAATGGTTCCTCTTCGCATGCCGCTGCCGCGAACAAGACCTCAGCCGTCTCGGATCGCAGGACCTGGGCCGCCCCCTGGCTTTGCCGCTGGTGTACGCACCCGCGCACAGGAGCCAAGTGGTGGAATCGTGGGGATTGCCAGCAATGTACCAGCTGTCGCGTCGCTAAGGGGGCCAGCTTCGGAGGCCCCAAGCCCACCGACGGCCCGCCAAGTCAGAGGCCAGCCACGTCCAGTGTGCGGCGCAAAGGGGACAGTGTGCGGCCTTGGTCGGATGTGGCGGCCAAGGACCGCGAGATCGCACAGCTCAAGGCGCAGCTCAAGGCGGCCAACGCCCCTGCTGTGGACGAGGACGCCAACGATGCCGACGACCCTCAGGGACGGCTCGCGGAGATTGCCTCGCTCCTCCGTGCCTTGGGCTCAAGCACCGACCCAGCCATCATGGGCGCGCGGGAGGCCCTGTCCAAGGAGCGGGAGGCCATCAAGCTGCGCATCGTCGAAGCGAAGCCCTACGCGGGCCAGCTCCACCACTACACCACCCGCATCGATGCGCTCGGGCAGGCGAAGGACAAGCGCCAGGCAGCGCTGCAGGACCTGCAGGAGCAGCGCCAGCGCCTGGACGACAGGATTGCCGAGACGGAAGGCCAGATCGCTGAGATCATGGCCGAGGTGCAAGAGCTGGAGGCGCTGCGCTGGAAAGTCTCGGCCAAGGCACCAACTGCTGCCCCTGGCGAGTGCTCCCTGCGCACGCTCGTGCCCGCGGTCGACATTTCGGTCGAGAAGATGGGCGAGATGCTCCAGGGCCTGGGCGCTGACGACCAGCTGGCGCAGTCGGTGGCCACGGTCTTCAGCCAGCTGCGGGCGCTGGCGGACAAGGCAGCTGCAGCAGGGTCGGACGCTTCGCCAGCACCAGGGCAACCTGCAGGAGGCAGCTCCAGTGCAGCGGCGCCCAGCGGATCTGCAAGTATGCCGACGGCGGGCCAGCAGCAAGCGGCACAAGCCAGGCCAGTTCCCATGGACACCGACGACCTGGATGAGTTGCGGGAGTTTCTGCGCAACGCCACGGGCGAGGACCCTCCGCAGGAGGAGGCGCAGGTCAGGGAGGCCATCAAGCGGATGGCCACCGCGATGGAGACACTTCAGGCCAAACGGCAGCGCACGGGTCAAGCCTGAAATTCATGACAGAACAGATGTGGTGCGAGAGTCTGCGGGCCTGAGCCCAGGTTCGCAGGCTGGGGGAGACACCGCCCCGAGCCCTGGGGTGGTGGCCAACCTACCACGGCACGCGAACGTTGCGGGGCCGCGGCTTGGAGAGGAGGCCTACAGCCAGGGCCCTAATTTGGTGTCTACCGTCGCCTTAGTGCTGTGGTTCGAGGCCCTGCGCTGCCGATTGGTGGACCAAGCGGCTTTCGTCCTCTCCTACCTGGTAAAGTTCGTGTTAGTCTTCTGGTTTGTGAAGTTCTGGACGGCCACCAACTTCAATTACGATATCCAGCTGAAGATAGGGTACCACAGCGGGCGGCTAGGGCAAGTGCTGTCGACGGGCTCCCTTGGCAGCCGCGCGGATGCGGGCTTTAAAGTCGTCCGACCTTCCCCAAGGTCCGCGCCTCGGGAGCCAACGGGACCCAGCACCGCTGCCGCTAGTCGTCGCACAAAAAAAAAAAAAAAAATAAAAAAAACAAAAAAAAGAACAAAAAAAAAAAAAAAAAGAATAAAATATAAAGAACAACCAGAAAACAGCAAAAACCACTAAACAAAAAAAAAAAAAAAAAAAAAATAGCAAGAAAAAAATAATAGTAAAAAAAAAAACGGAAAGAAAGAGTAGTAAAAAGAAAAACAAAAAAAAAAAAAAAGAAACGACACAATATAAATAAAAAGCTCACGATGCGCTGCTACTCCCTCTTCGCCGTGTACGCTGCAGGAACGTGCGCGCGGTCCCGTAACATGGGGCCGCCCCCGTCGCTTCCGCCCTGGCCGCTATCGGGGGTTATGTTTCGCTCTGGTCGTGTGCCTGTTCGAGGGGGTGCATGCCAAAGGCTCCAACGTGAACCAGGTCCTCACCTCCAACCTTACGTCCCATGGAGCTATGGTTGGAGTCTTGAGTGCGCCCTGCAGCTACAAGTCTACTCTCTGCCTGCAGGAGCATCACGGCGACGAGCAGCGCCTCCCTGAGCTCCAGAACACAGCGCGCCAGCACGGGTTTCATGGTGTATGGACTGTGGCCGCACCCACGGGCCGAGGCGGCACTTGCGGCGGATGCGCTATACTTGTACCGAAACATTTGCGGCTTGGAATGGGGCCTCTGCTGACCTCATCGACTCTCGCGCCAGGCCGAATCACGGTAGGACATGCCAGCTGGGGACCACGGGGAGGCACAGTGGTGGTCTCCATCTACTTGGTCGACTCGGTGGGGCTCAATCAAGAGAATATGGATCTGCTTACCACGCTGGCTCAATACCTGGAGGCGCTCAATGGTTTGGGACAGCCATGGATTGTGGCAGGCGACTGGAACATGGACCCAGCGAGCACACTGGACTGGATGCACTCGGTACACGGAGTTCAGCAGGCCCCAGCCCAACCCACATGCAATGCCACGCAACCTGGCACTACCAGGGATTATTTCTGCGTCTCTGCTGCCCTGGTCGATTGGATTCGCGGATGCGAAGTCGGAGTGGCAGCGACTTTCCCGCATCAGCCTGTGCAGTTGGGGTTTCAGTACTGCGCACATGAGCAGTGGGCACGCGTCCCTGTTACACCACGTCCACTCCCGACGGTGCCGAAAGTGGGCTGTGCCAGGTTCCCACCCACACGGCAATGGGCACGGGTGCAGCAGCTCATTGATCAAGCTTCAGACGGTGTGACTTTGGCTGCGGCGTGGGATGGGGTTATTACCACTATGGAACACGAGATCCTCAACCGCAATGACATAATGGACATGACGCAGCGGGGACTTCATCACGGCCGAGCTGGTCCCGACCAATGGGTATGGAAGCGGGTACAGGCCCTCGTACCACCGAGGCCCAAGCGGTTGAGCGCCTACCAGCAGTATGGCAAATGGTGTCAGCATCTGCGCTCCACGCACACACGCATGCTTACGGCCCTCCAGCGCATAATGGAGGAGGCAGATGCGAACCGTTTCCCTGCAAGGCTTTTGCCAGACATTTACGGCCAGCACGGGCAGTACGTCAACGGCCTAGGTAGCCCAGTCCAGGGTCAGTTCAAGGAGCAGCGGTCGTTGGCACAACTCAGTCGGGATCTTCAGGGTTTCTTCGCGCGAGTAGTACGTACTGGCTGGGTTGGGCCGCTGCTTGATTACGAAGATCGACTCCAGCTCCACAGTTACCACGACACGTTTTATGAGCCTGACTTCCTAGACAGGATCGACCGAGCGCTTGACAAGGTGAGTCGCGTGACGGAGGCCATACGCAAGTATGCTGGCATTGAATGGGCGCAGTGGGCCAAGCAAGCGTTTCAGAATGGGGCTGGCAAAGCGCACAGATACACTAGAGTGCGTGAACTACAAGAGACGTTGCAGCATGCCGAGAAGGACCGTGGCCAACCGCACCACATGGCTGATGAATGCTTGGAGTTTTGGAAGGGTGTCTGGACCATTCATGAGGATCGAGCTGTCGCCACGCCGGCAGTTCAAGCAGATTGGGAGGAGCTACCCGAGATCACAATCGACGACATTCGTAACACCCTCAGACGATTCAAAGCCACCACGGCGCTTGGGCAGGTATCGATTCAACCGCGCGCATTGACCCAAGTATCGGACATGGGATTGGGCGTCCTTGCATCTCTCTATCAGCAATGCGAGAAGTTGGCGTGTTGGCCGACGCAGAGGGTCACCACGGTGCTAGTGAGGCTTCCCAAGCCCACGGGGGGCCACCGCCTCATTGCGCTCATCAATACTGTGGTCCGCATTTGGAGCCGATTACGACGACGGATCTCTAAGCAGTGGGAGCTCGCCAACCCTTCTACCGCCTTTTGGGGCACGAGGCCTGGTGCGACTTCTACCGATGCTGCGTTTCAACACAACATAGCTGCGGAAACGGCGAAGCTCAATGGCATGCATACGGTCAGTGCACTGATTGACATGTACAAGTGTTTCGAGACGATACGATTTACTGCGCTGCTTGACAGGGCTAGTAAGATGCAATTTCCGATGAGATTACTTTGGATGCTGATTCACACATATCAGGCACCACGGCAGGTGCGAGCTTACGGGTCATTGTCCACCAAATTCACCTCCGCGCAGGGCATATTGGCGGGATGCTCTCACGCCTGCGCCATGGTCCACCTGCTCCTCTGCCAGTCCTTGGAGGCCCTACGCAGTAAGTATGCGGATGTGGTGCCACGGGCTTTGATGGATGACGTCAGCTTTCAATGGATTGGGGCAGAACCTTCTCAGGCGGTCGTCCTATTTCATGCTGTTCGATGGTTTATTCGCCAGGTGCAGCCACTGGGTCTCATCATTCAGGTGGACAAAAGTGGTTGTGTGGGTGGCACTACTGCGGCGACGCGAGTGGCGAAGAAGCTTGGTGGACTTATTCGGTTTCGCTGCCACAAGCACATGCGCAATCTAGGACACGAGCTTGCGGGGGTGCGACTCAGACGTACTCAAGAGAGAAAGCGTGTCATGGGCGTCCTGGCCAGGAGGGGCAAGTTGGCGGCGTTGCAACGGGGCCGAGCCCAGGTTCACACTCTGTGGCGCACGGGCCTGTTGCCTGCTGCTGCACATGGAGCGGGAGCTAGCGGCGTCGTCCCTGCCACGCTGGCAAAGCTCCGCACGCTGGCAGGCTCTTTGGTGGGAGCCAAATCACACGCCAGTCTTACGGCTTGGCTTGCCACTCAGAGCGATGAATGGTTTGACCCGATATTCGATGTCACGACCGAGCTAATCTGCAGATACGCGATCACAGTTTGGGATGGATTGGTACCACTCAGTCAGTTACAGCGGGCGTGGGCTGCCATGATGGAATCTTGGAATGGTGAATTCACGTGGGCCAGATGTAATGGGCCTCTCTCGGCGGTTTCGCTCAGCCTGCACAGGGTGGACTGGAAGATGGCGTCGGCACATATGCTATACGACGATCAGGGCACCCTCGTTAACCTTCTTACAACTACGCCTTGGGATGTGAAGCTGTTGCTGCGACAGAGCATTGGACGATGGCAGATGCTTCGCATTGTCAGCCACATGCAACCCATAGTTGGGAATCCTCATGGAGTCTGGAGGCGAGCACTTCGCAACTCAGTTCTCAGCTTGAAGAATCCGATCCATAGAGGCTGCGCCCGCAGATTGCTCGGCTCCGCATTGTGGCCCCCAGCGAGAAAGAAGGCTCTTGGGATCTCTGACAGTCACCAGTGCGAGATTTGTGAGAGTTCGGAGGCTGGCACGTTGGGGCACCAGTTGTACAACTGTGAGGGGGTCCTTCACCCACCTGAGGAGCTGCCTGTTGAATCCCTTTCAGAGGAGGTCTTGGAGCGCAGGGCGTATCTGCGGGGTCTTGGGGACAATGGGCTAGGCGACCCAGAGTGGGATTCTCTGGAGCTGTACGGGCTGCCTTACCATCCCATTAAGCTTTCGCCCCAACCCACGCAGAGCCCTGTGTTCCACTGGGGGGCTACGCATCTTCCCTGGGGTCGGCGGATCTACACTGACGGCTCGGGGCTCGCGAACGCGAGCCCTGAACTGCGCAGGTGTGGATGGGCCGCGGTGGAGCTGTCGGACTCTGGGCTGCCCGTGAGGGCGGTGTTTGGGCCGCTCCCTGGGCGCCAATCGGTGCCCCGTGCGGAGCGGTACGCGGGCTTGATGGCTTTCTCGGTAGCCCCCCAGGCGACCACAATATATAGTGATCATTTAGCCTTTGTGCAGGAAGGCCAGAGCTGGAGCCCCCAGCTTGCCTGTGGGTTGTCCCGACACGCGGATGTGTGGCGCCGTATCTTCCAGCTCTTCGAACAACATAGGCCACCGCCCGAGTTTGAATGCCCCCGCCCGAGTTTGAATGGGTCCCTGCCCACAGAGACATCGACGATGTCATGGCTCTGGAGCAAGGACAGATCACCCGCTACTTGGGTAACTCTTGGGCCGATTTTTTTGCGCGCCTTGGAGCCCAGGATCATCAGTACGCGCAGGTTTGTCTGGACGCGGAGAAGGCCCATTTGAAGGCCAGCAAAGCCACCCGGGGATTCTTGGCGCGCGCGGTCCATATCATTGGGGAGTACTCCAAGGCGTTTGAGCCCCCAATGACCCCCGTTGGTCAGCCCGTGGAGCGAATCAGTTTGACACTCGTGGAGCACGAGATTTATCGCCTGCCGACTCGTGCTGAATGGCGCTGCAGGAAGTGTAATATGTCGGCCAGGAGCGAAGCCACACTGCGAGTGATGTGCAGTGGGGCTGCTAGGCGGTGCCAGGGCAGTGATCTGGAGCGCTGCCGCGCTGACATCATTTTCTCTGCCGAACCCCAGGCTCGTCTCCACACTGCGAGCAGCCCCGCGGTGTCAGATCCTGTTCCTCCCTCGCTGGGCCAGGACCCCTCCTCTCCTTCCGTGCCCGACGCCGCGGTGGGGGCTGGGTTGAACGCCATCGCTGCTCTGGGCCACAGGCCCGTCCGCCACGGTAGGGTGATCATCTGTCAGAGGTGCGCTGGATACTGGATCCTCCCCGACGGCAAATGCCGCAAGCTTGGTCGAGTGTGCGAAGGGGAGGCCAAGGTAGCCAGCACGATTCAGAATCACCGCATGTACTGGCGACACGCAGAGGTAGGTTGCCACCCCAAAACGGGCGAGGTTTTGGGTCCGTGGGATGGTGCCCTTGTTTCTGGTTCGGAGCCTGGTGCCGTTTGTTTCCCGTCTTCCGAGGCGTCTGGACCAAGGGCTAGCTCTGCGTGTTCGGCCAACCAGGATAGTATGGAGCAAAGACACTGTGGTGGTCGTGTCGAGACGTCGTCCCGTCGTACACCACGTCCTTGCCCGCCTTCGGCAGCCTCGCTCGATGCCCGAGCGAATGCTGCGAGCACGGTTTTGTCTCAGGCCCCGTCGGAGCCTGCTTCGGACTCTGATTGAATCAGAGTCGGCCTCCCGCTCATACTCCACAACGCTGGAGGCCAGTCTTCGGTGCGCGGAGCACCCCCAGTCGCCAGGCCTTCACCCCTGGCCCTCATCACTGCTCGGCGCTAGTCACAGACCTGCGCCTCGGCAGCCGAAAGCCGAAAGCCTCCTGCTCCTGCTCATGCTCCTCCTCCTCCTCCTCCTCCTCCTCCTCCTCATCCTCCTGTTCCTCCATCTCGACGACGACGATGACGACGACGACGACGACGACGGACGACGAGGACGGGCCCCGCGGGCCCTCCCAAAGGGGCCTTCTCCGAAAGGGGGGGATGTGGCTTTTACTCGGATCCGAGGGGAAAATCTTATTGATAGGGATACGTATTTTAGGCCTCTTGGGAGGCCCCCGTCGCCACCGCCGGATTCGCCTGGAAATCCTGGTCAGAACGCCCCCCAGGAGAGGTCCTGCGAGCTGCGGCATCGGCACCTCTTGCTTTCCCAGAGGCCCCCCAGCCACACGGGACGGCTCCGCCGCTCCCCTCGCGCCACTCCCCAGATGACCCCGAGGGCCTTCTTCCTGGGGGCCCCACAGGCCAGGGTTCTGGGCCCCTCGCGGTGGCGCGAAGATAAAAAGTCGGGAGCCTTGCGACGGGGGCCGATGCAAATGGGGGTCAGCCAGAGCGCCCGATCTTGCAGGATCCTGCAGGGCCAGGGCCGCACTGGCCCGGGCGTGGGCGCAGGATCTTGCAGGCTCCTTCGCGTGGGCCCGGGCTTGGGTGCAGGATTCTTCGAGGCCTGACTGACCCGGGCCTCGATTGACCCGGGCCAGCAGCTCCCCGAAGAGGTCGCCCCTCCGCGCGTCGCGGCCTGGGCCAGAGCAGCCGCCCTCCTCCGCGGGAGGTGGGCGCGAGGGCGCGAAGGCGGCCGTGCTTCGCGGGGCGCGGGGCGCGAGGCTGGGCGGCCGCCGGAGAGCCGAGTTCAGGGGAACGAGCGACGACGACGACGACGACGACGACGACGACGACGACGAGGACGAGGACGAGGACGACGACGAGGACGAGGACGAGGACGAGGACGAGGACGAAGACGAGGACGAGGACGAGGACGGGCCCCGCGTTCGCCTCCCTCGAGGGGAACGAGCAATGCCACAACTATAAAAACTTGGCGGTCCGCGCGGATTTCTCGGATCGGCGCTGGACCCCTCCGGCGGCGCCTGCGGCGCCGGCCCTGGCGCGCTCCGCGCGCGAGGGGGGGGTCCAGCGCGGATCTCCGCGCGGATCTCCGCGCGGACCTCCGAGTGTTTTTTCTCTCTGTTTCCAAGAAAAAATAAGTACAAGTGGCACGTGTGCCATAGCCCTTGCACAAAAAAGGAAGGGGGAGGAGGAGGAGGAGGAGGGGAGGAGGAGGAGGAGATAGGAG